TGTTATAAAAATAATAAGCCTAGTTAAAATAACATGCATTTTGAAATTAAGTAGACAGAAAATTTGGAATAAAGAATTAAGTGGATAAGTTTTTATATAAATTTATAGTTAAATATCTAAAAACTGATTCTAAATTAAATAATATCATAAAAATAGGTGATTAATTTTCAATATACCACTCCGAAGTAAATTTTAAGTACTGAAAGTCATGATTAATGCAATAACAGCGACATTTGTTCGTACAGTTCTTGAGTTCAACTATTTATACATTTATTATTTTAATATCATAGTAAAAGGCACAATATTTCTTCACCGTGTAATTTAAGTAAATAAGAAGCAACCTCGCTGAAGATTTTCTCTTTGAAGCTGTCAAACATGAATACAATTTGATAATAATAATATTAAATATCAATTCCTGTTGCAAGTATATAAGCTTGAAGAGTATTTCCAACTTTAACATAATTTTATGAAAAATTAATTACTTAAGAAATTAAATACGAAGTTCTATGGAAATATTTTCTTGGTGACCTACTTTAATTTGTCAACAAGGAAAGTACATAAAAGTGATCCGAAAAGATACGAAAGCGCACTTTAATATCTGTCTTGAAATATAACAGCTAAGGGATGCTCTAGTTTATTGTAAGACTAACGACAACAAAGAAAAATGTTCCGATTTTTATATAGATTACTTTTAATTAGACTCTTAACAATATACTTTATTTTTTTATTTTACTCACTATAATTTCCTCTATCATGTCAATAAAATATAATAAAATAATTATTTTAATTGTAAATCTATCCATCTATATAATGAGAAGTTTTCGAAATTAGCAGATAAAATACTAATGAAGATTTAACATTAATGAAAATAATTGCGAAACATTGGAGATATGAACACTCTAATTAATAAACCAGCCACGGCGTTTTTGAGCTGCAAAAAAAAACCTTTTCTCACATGAAAAACAAAGCACTCTACGCGACACAGTGTCAAGCAAAAAGATTAAGTACGTCACTCAATGTCGCTGAACCCTTTTTATTACGGTTCCATTGTAAGAAAGATGATATTCGCAATTTATTTTTTTGTTCTAAAAATGATTGATTATTTTTACATTTATCGCTGTAATAGAGACTATATTAGAAAAGTAAATGTCATCATGATTTTCAATACAAATGTATCTATTTATTTCTAATCACGTAACTGTTTATACAATATAAAGTTCATTTGTATAGTAATTCTATAATTCCACGCTAATGCGTATCGCCCAGCACTCAAACAATGAGGGTTCCCCGGAAATGCAATTAACTATGTATTCGTCGGAAAAAGGAAATATCAATTCGCTCGTATGCCGGCCACAGTGACAGATTAATATTTTATTGGATTATATTCTTTATATCTATGATATTAAGACCCAAGTATAACATACATATAGAGAGGTTTACTGTACAGAGAATTGATATGATTCGTTTGGTTTAGCTGACAGACCCGCTTGAGTCAATTATAAGTGCAGTGATACATGAAGAACTTTAATTTTTATTAGGCCTAGTTAGTAGTTTAATTGATGGAGGACGCTCGTATATGAAATTTAGTTTTTATTACACTTTCTTACTATGAAAAATGAATAAAAGGTAGAATTTTAAAAACTTATACAGTATTTGATAAGATCTTTGTTGTAGATATATCACATTTGTTTAAAGTACAAGTTTCTATATGAAACTATTTTGTGATTGTTCTAACCTTTATAAACCTTTTAAGGTGATAAAGTATTATACTTTGAGATATAAGATAGCTATAATCATAGTAATTTAAGTCAGATATAAATTTATTACGTACAATTTTGACCCGTAAAAAGTATTAAGTATATTATATAACATTAAGAAAATAATTCCCAACATTTAAACGATATATTACAAAGTGTCGTTCATCATATTAACTTTAAACGAAAAATATGATCGACTTAAACGAACTTAAATTGTCAAGCATAAATTGAATTTAATGTATTTTTTTATAAAACGGGAATGGCTTACACGTAAAAAAAAATGCTGGAAAAACCCTTAATTATAATATTTTTCAAGTACACAACCTACTATTTTCACAACTGGCACATCTTACATGTTATAAATTATCATTACAGAATGAAAAAAGAAAAGAAAATAAAACGAAAATAGAAATGAAAGTGCTAACAACTTGACAAAAGTACTCCATATCTCTTTTAAACATCCTGCAATCACATGATCTCACTAATGATGAAATACAAAGCACTAAAACACGTCGCAATAGTGATAAAATCAAAAAAGCCATTTGCGCTTGAGTTATTTGTCGTCACATTAAACAAGTGTTCAACAAAAAGTCTGAAGATCAAAGAGAATGACGTGGCGAAGTCTGGAATAACATCAAGCTAAATGCACCAGAGATATGCGAAACTCGGAATTTATTATGACATTTACACTCCCTGATCTGTTTCAAATACAATGCTCGGTACGCATCACTCTTAAATTGAAACTAAAACGATAACATTCTTTGTACTAACAACACGATAACAATTTTGAATCATCATTATTACAATACAAAAGCCAGTGAATTTCTAAGTAAAGACATTCATAGGGTTAGCATAAAAACAGACAATACAGTAGTTAAACACTAGCCGTCATGAAAGTCCACTCACTTTAAATTCTCGCACCGTTTTGTTGTTGAAATTTATGTCTTCATTCCTTTAGCTCATTATTCAATGGAATGTTTTAAGACTATGACTCTTAAATTAACACTTCTGCAGGTAATAAAATTAATGACAACACTTATTAGCGACACTTATAAATGTTAATATCTCAAAATAACATTATTTAGCGTCAAAACAATCCACACCATTAAATTTATGTTATGCTATTTGCTCACATTAATAATAACATATGTTAAACTGTCGTAACAATATACTTACGCCGACTTAACCAATTTCAACATTTATTTACTTCGAAAGTTATGGATTCTATTGATGTCGTAGAAATATAAAATAATATATAATATAAGTTACTAAATAGTAATAAAATAAATATATTTTGGTCATATAAATATCATAGAAGATATTTATCTCTATGAAAAAAAATCATTACAACTAATAGTTTGTTATATAATCTAATTCATATAATAGTAAATCTCTTGCACATTCAGTGGTTCATAAATATCAGTACCTTTAATGGTATTTCTCAGACATGGTGCATTTCTATTCAATAGTTGCTCAAGCCATCCATTTCTTTTCGCTGTGAGCACAAGTTCTCAGGTATTGTAGGTATAAATGATGAGATCCCATTGATCGAGATATAAATCACTTCAATGAATGGCGATCTAACGTTTTGATCAATGTGAACGACCAATATTTTTAAATGGAAAAATATCTACAACGTTTTCGGACTCCCTACCTACATGATATACCCACACATCCTAAAATATTTTCTATACATTCAGCTACTTTTTTGTTTTTTTTTTATTTCTCGTATATACGAGATTTTTTTATTTCTCGTATATATTTTATATAAATACCACGTTAACCAAAATAAAATAATGTCAACGGTAATTTATTAATAAAAATATGTTTACTGCAATGGATTCTTTTCGTGTCAAATGTTTTCATTCAAATAAACATGAATAATATGCATTTTACAAGTACCATCCATTCCGGTAGTGGTCGCATGTCGCCGCCGGCGCTTATATTAATGCACTTCCAGTTCAGACACTTAAGGCTCCCTACATATTTTAAAACTTCACAGCATTGAATTTCAAAAGATTTATTCTTGTTCCTGTAAATACAAGTTTATTAGCTTCGGGCATTAAAAATGTTAAAAGATGTTGAGAGTTGAGACCAAAGAAAAACAAAACTCAATTTTGAAACTGTGTGTAAAGCAAAAAAACGAAGTTATTACATAGAATTTTGCAGCAATAAGATTATTTTTATCATTAATTTAATAATATAGATAATGGATCTGTTCAACGGCTTCCAGTTAACCCCTTCATTCCACATTTCCTGTTTTGCCCAATCCAATATATCACCCAAGGTGACAAGGGTCTGACCATAACGTTGGCTAGAAAGTAGAACGATTAAATCCCTATTAGTAAACACCACAAAAACATGTTTAAAATACCTAAAGTGTTCCACATTCAAATTTTAGATTAAATTCATTTACTGCGTAAATTGTCGTGAAGAAAACCTTATATTACAGTAATAATAAAATAATAATAAACCATATTCTAATGAAATGTTCTACTTTGCATGTGGTCAGTGTAAGCTGTTTAAAATGCAATGCGACGAAGCTAATAGATAAGTGCAGTTAATCTTTGTGACGTGATGTGATTTAACAAGTAAAACTAATGAACTATAGATACAAATGCGGACTATTTCACAATATTACTGTGTATTGATATAAACTATTAATATTTTCCTAGCTTTATCTACTAAACACCACTCTACCTTCTTATTTTTAATTACAATCTGCTTAAAAGCTTGACATTAATATTGCAGAGTAATTATAATAATTGCTAATATATTAATGAATAGTGTACATCAAATATACTAGACTAGATAACATGAACCTATTTTATGCTATAAAATAAGAGCTAAACTAAAAAACTGGATTAAAGCGATTCATATCATTGCGTCATTTAGATGACAACATGCTTGTAGGTCAGGTCAAAAACATGTACGTGATCAAGGCTAAACGTGTTTATTCATCATGTTTCCTTTACTTTGCGAAGACTTACATCAGTTGACTATCTCTTCTCGTGGATTGCTCACATTTAAAAAGATTATTATTATCTTAAACATTTCTATGTCATCTCATTCAAATTATTTATTGTTAAAGTGAACTCCATTATAAAATACATCATATTTTTAAATGCATTCATTCAACAACTCGTTTTTCGTTCAACGAGTTCGGTGTCCAATAGTGAAAAATAAGTGTAGAATAACATTTCAATTTCAAAAACTCATCTATTGTAATGTAAACACTCTAAAATGAGAAGAGTTATATTATTGATACTATTTTTGGTGTTGTGTGTACATTTGTTGGAAGCTAAAGACTTAGTTGTCGGTACGAGAATCAACAACTTATTAATATCGACAGAGAAAGTCTTATACAAAGGGATTCCGCTTATAAGAAGGGATAAGGATTACACGTACACTGATCCAAAGAAACGCATTATTAAGGTATGTATTAATAGATGCCTACTTTACAAATAATTACTCATAATCACACTTAATCAGTATTAATCTTACTTAAACTTAATATGTAATACTTTATAACAGCTTGAATAATCTTGATTCTTGATTTTTTTACTTTAATTGCACATTACTTTATAATTAAAGCCCTTTAAGCGATGTTTTTGCTAGAAAATGAAATGATAATTTGACAAAAAATTAATCACAATTATATTATTGTTTTACAAGTAAACAAATTAAACCTTCATGGTGGAAACATTATAAAGTAAAATTCAATTATACTACTGGCGATGTTTAAACTAAATAATATATAGCTTACATACACGAACGTATTATGATAAAACATTCTCCACTTTAATGTCATGATAACTTAACATGTAAAACGATGAGACTGTATACCATTCGAATCGAATGATGCTCGTGACTATGAATTTTTCATTCCATACGTGATTTTTATATTTGAATTTAAAAATAATTCTTTAATTCCAGGGTATAATCGCACGTGATTTATCCCGAACAGAGGCCGAGGTGACAGTGACGGCCGGCGGCGTCGGTGACACACACGTCACACTACACTTCAAAAGCGAACGCGGAGCTGGGATCAACTATCTCATACTTATATTTAGCGATAACAAATAAACGTACTTGTCAAAATAAACAATATGTAATATGATTAATTAATGCTATTATCACTTTATTTACAATAGCATCAGAGTAGTAGAACATTATGTAAAAATTAAATAAACCAAAAAATATATACGCCAGTTCAATATAAGTTCAAGGTATCTTTTACGTAAAGCAATAAGAAAATATAAGAAATAAATTTTAACTATAATTGTGCTATTGTTATCTTATTTGTATAGATGTTTACGTAGTACAAGCTGTCTGTACTTTTATATAAATCTCCATTGTATAAAAACGACGAGAATCTTGCATAATTTACTCCATTGCATTATAATCTCAAATATTATAATCATCAATCTTTTGATTGCGTTATGTTATTTAGTTAAAAGAAAAAAGATTTCTTTGTAACTTGCAACTTTTAATTCTTGCTAACTTTGGTTATGCAAAAGAAGACAAAACAAGATTAGCCAATTTGATATGGTATCAGTAAAGTGATGTTTCAACAAATTAACTCCATATATTTTCATTGCAACAAATGTAGACGTAAATCAATCGCTAACAGTAAACCAATATGATAGCTGAAAAAGAGAAATAAAAGCAAACAATACATAAACAGCACACGTCATCTCTAAATCAATTTTAGCGAATTGTCAGTGACAGTGTACACAGGGTGTTTAAACTGAGGGTGGCTAATGGAGACACACGTATTAAATTGAGCCGCGTGCACAACATTGACAGAGAGCAGGGGGCCTAATTAGTTTAGCCCGTGGCCAGTACCCCGGAGATAGTGAAGGGATATAAATCTTCTAGAAATTATTCATACAATAACGGCATATCAGATTGGACTTTTCACATATAGATATGTAAAAGACGTTTTAAAACTACAAACGTTTAATCGATGAAACTGCACCCAAATTTATATTTCAGAATACATAAACATATTATACTTTGAGAATACATAAACCTTAAATCTGTAATAATACGGGAGAACGAAAAAATAAATAATAAACAATCACATCCAGTAGACATAACATCTGGCGTCGTCCAGTGGGGCGCCATACCTTCCACAATTTAAGCGAGGATCAAAAAAACACGCGCTTATTATAATTTCATCGAGTTACGTTATACCACTAATTTAATTCCTATTCGTTGGTGGTTACTTTACACATCCAATTTATTATGCTAATTGATAGTGTAATTAATTTGCCGCCGCATGCTATTATTTTTATGTAACCGATACCGCATCCAGAGTAATTAAATTTTTGTTTGGTATTTTATTATGAAAACAGCATGTTTTAAGTTTTGATGGGTCCATTGGTATATCGTTAAAACAAAATATATTCTATCCGGTATCGAATTTAATTAGTTACCTACTTAAATTAATATTTTTAAATTTAACGTTACATCAAATCTTGTCATAGACACTCATAATAATTTAGTGGATATATTTTATCTTTGATTTTTGCTCCTACACATTGAAATAAAAATCTATGTTCAAAAAAGATAATTAAAATGGAAGGTTCCATAAATTGCGAAATTCATAGGTGCTTCGTTTTATTTTTTTTAATATTTTCTCATTTTCTTAGCATTATTTAACAATTATGCTCGGATTTTAATATGATATCCTTTCTATTAACATCACCGTAAAGTATTGTGATATTTCAGCTCTCTGTCAAAACAAAATGAAAATAAATGTACATATATTTAAATAATATTCATGAAGAACACTTTCAAGATTTCTATGGCTTTTATTTATCGAATATTGATTTTCGATATTGAAAGATTATTTGAGTGTAAGGTAATAAAATGTGATATAGCTGCTCAATCACGTGGGTATTATTGGAAAGAGTAGGTGTTCAAACAATAATGTAATACAAGTTATATTGATAACATTTTATAAAGGTAACTGAATATTTAAAAGAGCTTTTTAGGTGAAATTTCAACTGGAAGATGTACTATTAGCTTCAGGGAAACGAAGAAATACGAGTATGGACAAGATTGTAATGGCTGTTTTGCGATCATATTTATTCAGTTAATATCATACGATACCAAAAAAACAATAAAAGTAAAATGAAATTATAGTCAACATTTTTGTATTTGTATTTAACAAGTCTCTGAGTCCAAGCCATAATATTCGTATTTACAAAATTCAAAAGCAGCTTTTAGCAACCATTTGTATAATACGAGTGTTGTAGTGAAATATTCAACGAATTCAATACAATATTTCATTTTGTGAATACTCATGCGAATATCAATACTATACACGGCAGACCGCATCTGAAAGAGCGCTAAAAGCTCAGCTGCCCATGTTCAAGATTTATGTTCGAAAATTGTTTGATACGTTCCCTTACCTGTCAGACATTTGAATAAAAATATATATCCTGCAGAATACACATGTAAACCTATATATATTTTTCTGCGTACATAATCCCATACTTTTTACATGTGTTATATTTTCCATCTACCTGCCTATGCCTTTATCTAATAACATAAATCAGTAATATTAATTATAGAATAAAAATTATTATTATTAATATTATTTTGACACATTAGTGTCTATAATAGATCAATTAGTTTGGTTGCATAAACGGACATAAAGAAATTCATTCACTTCATGCTCAAACACAGGAAAAATTTATAGCCATGCGAGTTTCATAGTGGCTTGCATGTTTTTAAAACCACTAAATTATGATGTTTTCGGAATATATATTACAAAGCTCTCTTGCGGTTTGTACATACGAAATGTGAATAAATAATACATAAGAGTTTACTGGCAGACATAATATATGAAATGCAACCTCTACGGAACAATTGCACGCTACGTGGTGCACTTTTCATATTGGCATGACGTCATAAAGTACGTAATAACGTAAAAGCAAAAAGCTTGCGAGAAAGCTAGGGTTAAAACTCAATATTCAAACTCCAGATAAGGTAAACTTGCTTCAGGGAACTATTTTATCTAGAAATTCAATCTGTACCACGTTGGTTAAGTTTGGCATTGTGTCTGCCAAGTTCTTTCAACGAATCAAATCACAGGCTAAATCTTATTATTGTAATTCAGTTCTATTTTATTAATATAAAATGCTTTTAACTTTTCATTATGTCCGCTGGGGTAACATGCTGAAAATAAAATAATAATGATGTAATTTAACTTTGGCTAAGAGGTTTTTAATAATTTAAAATAAATTTCAATTTTAACGAAGCCTGAAAGCAAGATTTCAGATAACAATTAAATTTAATTTGGTTCGTAAAGTAACAGCGTTAACCTTTAAAACTTTGTAATAACCCCTTTTGAAAGATAAGCCTCCATAATATTTTGTTGTAATATCTTTAATCCCTCCATCCTTTAGATGAAACATGAAAATTTACCTTTAAAGTTTTTTTTTGATTTTTTTAACGAGGAAACCATAAAGAAAATAAAAGTTGTTAAGGAAAGTTTTCGTATTTCACCTTCCAATTTCTCCTCTAAGGAAATGAGAATAAAGTATCGAAAACTCGTATTTGATACCTCCATCAAAAAGTCGTTTGGGAACAAAAACCACGAAGAAAAATCGTAATTCGATCCAATCTTAATCCAATTATACCAAACTGAGGGTTAGCCACACGAAAGCTCAGAAATCGTTGGTGAAAACCTCATTACCTAAATATATAGCTAGAAGAGTGTAGCTTACGGTGGATAATATTGTTTAGAAAATCATATAAAATTCATTAATTTATGAAGCAGAATTACTCATATTTTATTAATAAATCATTTCACTTTTGTGGATTTAAACATTTGATTATAAGGCAACATGATACAAAAATGCATAAAAGTTATCCGACTAAAATAGAACTACAGCAAACGAAGTAGCTGAATTTTCTGGATTAATTTGGGTTTTAAGAGAACAAGCGGAGTTAATTTTATGCTCCTGGTTTTGATCCATGTGACGAGATTAAATCACGTCTAGCTTACAATTGTTTGAAAGACACTTTGATAACAATAAATCACTTACTTATATGACGTCATGCTATCTTACGTATAATTTCTGGGAAATCTTTCGAGTAACTATTATTTACTTCATTTGATTTTACTATGGGACTATACGTTAATCATAAAATCAGTTCAAACTAATACAAGATCAATACTAATATATGAAAAAAAAATGTAATTACAATAATTAAAAGTCGAGTAATCGTTGTTTACTTTGCTATGCTTATTAAAACATTTTGTAACTCCGTTACATAATTAATAATACTTCTCGGTTAATGGAAATAAAAAAAAGATTATTAAAGTGATTTATTAGTGTTATCGCTGGCCGCTGCCCAGTTTTTTAATAATGATAAGCGTAATAGGAAGCAATGTAATTTATTGTCGGTTAGATATATTTTCAATGAACCTCTTTGTTACTTACTTAAATATATGAAAAGTCATTATCAGGTTCATATTTTTATTAAATTGACGTTAATGAGTAATTTATCAATTTGATATACGATAAAGTTTTACTTAGTGGGTATTTAGTTTTAAAAATTTTATGCTGGTTGATAATAATTAAACAGCCTCGAAGACTATTAGTTATTAATGTATAAGCTAGTTAAAAACTTAGAAACCTGTCTAAATGTTACCATATTAGAGATCAATCCAGTTCATTAAGAGTGAAATTCTGTAGTGAAAATATACATACCTTATATTAATGTCAATGCCATATAACTTTCCAGCCAGAAATAACGCTATAATGACTTAAATACAATATTTTTTTACAAGGACTAGTCATACGAATAGCTCTTTATTTTTAATATGCGTTGATCTATTAAAATCTATGCCCTTGAATGGAAACGTTACTTTACTAAGCGCTTTGAGCACTGTGAACTCAATGAGTAATAAACACGTTGAGCTCTCACTGTAAAACTTTCGAGACATGTTTGATAACCTACCGACAGCTTTATGTTCGTTTTATATTTAAATTTACTATTTCATTATAATGTTCTTTATTTAGTTTATTGAATGGCTGAAAGATTCTTAGGTATCTATGTTATAA